CGTCGTATCATCATAATCGCTCACTTTTAATTTTTTTCTTCTTTCTTCTTCTCCTTCTTCTTCATATATCATAGTGCACATCGCAGTTGCGTCACTTTCTTCACATTACATACAGAATACAACTGAAACTCTGTCTTATTTTGCACACGCTCACCCTCATTAAAGTGGAATCATTTAATTAACAATTAATTAGTATACAACCGTCTAACGATCGGTGCTGCGGATAAGTTTCTGAAGTCGTAAGTCGGTGTTTTTTCTAATTTTTTTCTTTTCTCTTGTATTATCCCTTTAATGCTTCTCCGTGAATCCAGAGAACATGGAATTAAAAATGCACCGACTATATACGGCGTAAAGTGAAAAATAAAAAGTTTCAAAACATTCCTTTTTCACTTTTTTATTCCTTTATTTCTTTCGCCTTTTAACCTCTCGCTCTATTTTGTTTATATTTTAAGGCCATAAGTGAAATATCTAAATTTATAATATTCAGCGCTAGGTATGTGTATGTATATAAATTACTTAATTTTTATATTTTTTTAATATTTTTTTACTTTTATTATTTAGGATCTTATTGTTTAAGGTACAATATAACGCAAAGTCTTTTAAATTAATGTTTCCTTGCGATAATATTCTCTTCGAGGGATAAGAAAAATCTCTCTAAATGTTTTAGACTGGGATTCCACACTAACGGGAATTAAGGATCACTCTTTACTGAAACACATTTGTCCAATTTTAGTTACAGTGGATATTTATTACATTAAAGTAGAGTGACTATGCTGAGCTAGATTATGCCTTATAAGGCAATTTTTTTCAATTTTATCCAGTTAATATTAGAGAGTTAACTAAAGCGCAAATCAACATAATTAAACGTTCGTTAAAACGTATGTTATTTATTAGTGCACATACACAATCACGTATACGAAAATTTAATGTCGTTTCATATAATTAGAATGGAAATTTTCATCGTACCAGTTTAGAGTTAAAAACTCACTCTAAAATTTTTAGAGAGAACCGACTAGCGATTAACACGAAAGGCTCTATTATAAAGAGTAAGTAAATCGTAAAGGTAATACCATTCCAAATATCACCGATTCAGTGTTAACATTAGCGATATAACGTTAATAAATGAAAAACAAATTGGAAAAAATATTTCGCAATCATTACAATTTACTCAACGAACAGCCCTTAAAAGAAATAAAGTGTCATAATAATGAAATCGACCTTTACTTCAGCTCGACCTAATAATAATCATAATAAATTAAGTAACGTAATACGTAATTAATATTTGAATATCGATATCCCCCGCGATCAAGAAACGAAGTCTTCCAAAAGCAGTAATTAATGATCTCAGTTCAGGACCTTAGATCGTTATCGACTCAGTCAGCATTTAAAATTCATTTTACTGGCGGCTCATGGCAGTGCTCCTATTGTTTTGATAGAATATTTAGATCCTGTGAATACTTAGCGACAACTTGATTTTTTGTTTTTCAAATTTTCTTTCCGTTATATCGTTATTATTCGTGCGTCGATTGTAACATCAAGCACAAAAACAGAACCAAATCTGCTTTTATCCATTAGTCAAAGCTTTCGTAATAATTTCCAGTGTCTATGAATGCCTTCGTATAAAAGAATTTACACATGAATGGTGAAATACGTTTTATATATTGAAATCTGCTTAATTAAGTTAATTTTGTAAATTATTTGAATGAATGGCGAGGGAATAGTAACAATTGATGTGTGAAGTGGTAAGATTTTTGTTTTGTTCGTACATTTATTCACTTCAAACATCGGAGCAGCTGTGCAAGTTATTTCACAAGTCAGACTAATGCGGGTTAAAGCGTTATTCTTTTCGTTTTTTTAATTGAATAATCTCAATGTGTGCATTAAAGTTATATCGTTTTCTCATTTCCCTTTGCTATGAAAGAAAATAATTTTGATGGTTCGACAAAGGAGACAGTAAGGCAATTTAATTCTCAAGTGTCGTAAGACTGATTAATAAGACTGGGAAAAAGAAAACGAAACGAATGAAAGTTGAAGGACGTTGTACCCTCCCTACTTTCCTTGTTTCTGTACAAATTTAAATGACAATAAATTTTTTTCGTTTATTCATTTGCATATTATTTAAAAATATTCGTACATATTTGTAGGTGGGAAAAGAGAATTAAATAATAATAATTATTATTATAAGAATAATATCATAATGATAATAATTATAAGTAGTCATAGTAAAAAATGAAAAAAATTAAAAAAAAAGATGAGACTTGGAATGTTTTGCACGCACACACGCACGAGAATGAAATAATGAATAAAGTGATAATAGGGAAAAATAGGAAGACTGTGACTCAGAACAATGCGATAGATAAATAGTTCATTCACATTATATAATAAAAAAATAAAAAATAATTATTAATAAGATCAATCATTGTCTCCATCTTTTTCCGTTTTTCTCGAGAATGCATCGAATATACACGAACAACACCTTTTTTGCATCTTTGGCGCAGGACTGCGGCTATATTAATCATCGAAGCCGGAAATTAGAAGATCGAAAATCAAGCAAAAGTAAGAGGGGAAATAAACGCGCACATGAGGGTAGAGGATAGGAGACTCGACTCTCCGGAATGAATTAGGCACTAAATAAATATATTTAATAATTACGGTGTGACAAATAAATGTGTTTATTACATCGCTAGAGGGCTTTACCTTTACGCCGCGAAAAACGTAAGTTCTCCATAGTCCCCCGCCTCCCCTTATCGCGTTATAAATCAAAGTTGACTCAGAGGATGTCCAAGCACAACGTACATACAAATTTCATCTCGTTAATTTCTTGTTATCCTGTTTTCCAGCTCCATATCCTTAGCATCACTTTGCGCTACCTATTTATCCCTTTTATTCGTTAGCTTTATTTTACTTCACAGTACTTTGTTTGCTTTGCAAATGTGTGTGGTATCTCGTAGCTACTTGTGGCAGACTCAGTGAATCGAACTTCATATTGCTGGTTATATACCCGTTTTGGACTGCTTGTGTGAGCGTGTGCGTGTACGTTCCTCTCGTGCCCACTAAATTACAAATATATATAATATAATATAATATAATATATATATATATATAATTTTAATGAACGCTTACGGGCGAAAGATCGGGGGGAGGGCGGGGTTACCGAACCACTACATTCGCTCACCGGCCATTTCATACCACATATACATGTGTCGCAGCACTCACTCCACCTTGTATACTTTAAATCGGTTCTACTCATCGATTCATTAATGAACACTCATCTTACGTTCTGTTTTCACGCACACATAGACTCATTTTTTCTTTATTTAGACATTATGCAAAAATACTAGTTAAATTCCTATACAGAACCTTCGATTACGTTTGTGTGTTACGCAGATCTATCATCTTACCTTTCTTTTTTGCCCTGTGTCATGAATGATTTACTTAGTTTTGTTTTTGTTCAATATTCCTTCTATTTATTGTTAATCGTCTATACAACAACCTCAATCCCTCTAAACAATAACCTCTTTTGTGGTGTTACTAATTTCCCGACTTTTTGCTCTTATTATTGTTTTCAGTTTTCATTTTCAATAATATAAACCCGCAATTACTTTTGTTTCTAAATGTTTACTTATAAGATATTTGGTTTGCTTTTATGCAACACATTCCGACGTGCAACGTATTCTTTTTTTGTTTTTTTTTTAATTTTTTTCTGCATCATTTGAATATTTGCTTACTCTTTTCATTACTTCTCTCTCTCTCTCTCTCCCACCTCTCCCCCTCTCTATTTTCAATCTTTAGGTGTATAAATTATGGTAATGATTCGGTAGTATTTAAGATTATCGTTATTATTAATTATTTTAATATTATCGTAATATTCAGCGCCACCGCCTTTGTCGCCATGTTTTGCACAAAACTCGTAATCTTTACATTATAATTATAATTTATCATATCATCTCTTTCTCTAATTCTACGCTCCCTGCATACAAGCTCGCACACACATACTCTCTCGCCTCTCTCTCTCTCTCTCTGTCTTCATCAGGGTGGAATCGGGATATGGATGGGTATGACGATTGTATTCTCATTGGAAAAGCGCAACTGTATAACATCTTTTATGTACCCTTCGTTTGCAGATCACCAGAGGTGCGTGTACAAGCGCTTTAAAAAAACAATAATACGCACAAATAAACAAAAAATAAATTGGTCAGAATCTACAAGTAGTTTGTCATGAAACTTATACGTGCTTAATTAGATTTTCCTCGAAATTTGCCTCGATTATGATTCAAGTCAAGGGCCCGGTCAAGAGGATTGCGCATTTAGTGTACCGTCGCAATTATAAGCACGAGGAATAAAAGTTGCGGGCGAATTGATCAGCAAACGGAGGAGACATCGACGAAAATAAAGAAAAATGAAGTATCAGAACAGTGACGCATCTGTGCAATTTACGCAGCTGCTACTGTTGTTGGTGATGAGTCCACAGCATTGTCTTCGTTCATCTTCAACGGCTGCTCGTACGAGAGAAGACAAAAAGAAAAATGGGTTACGACGTACGCACTATCAATAGTACGGTCAAGTTCAAATTCCATTGTTGCAGTGCGGTTGGTGCCCAAATTCAATACATATGCCTGCCGCGTCTCAAGCATTTATCGCCATCAGTATAAGCTCAGGCTCGGAATCACGTACGCATGTGTACATATAATTAATTTGCTTATATATGTATACATTTAACCATCTGGTGAAAAATACCCCACCTTGCCCTTACTTTTGTTATCTGTCTGTCTGTCTGTCTCTCTCTCTCTCTCTCTCTCACTCACTCTCTTTTTCTTTCATACACGCTTTTAATCCACATCCTCAGACCATCGTCAGGCAAGCTTAAAATTTTCTCCATGATGATGATAACGATGATGATAATGAGGATGATGAAAACGATGACAATGACGACAATGACGAGGCTGATGACGCTGATGACGATGTGATGGCAACGGTTTTGTTGTTGTGTTGTTGTTGTTGTTGTTGCTGTTGTTGTTGTTGCTGCTGCTGCTGATGCTGGTGTTGCTTATGCTGATGAACGATGAACAATAGCGATATTAATCGAAGGCTTATCATCATCGCGGTTGCGGTTAGTGGTCGGTGGCCTTGCGATCAGAGCAGGATATCGGCGTCGGCTTTGGCGGCGGTCCTCGCTCGTGGAGCCGCGCCGGGTCACTTCTTGCTCTTCTTCGAAGGGGGTTCATGCACCGAATCTTGGGAGCTGTCTTCTTCGGTGGCCGCCTCGCTCTCATCCGTTGGCCTCGGCGTCGCATTACTGCTGCTGTCCTCGTTCGTAGGCAGCGAGTCGTTCGTATCGTCGCAACAGGGTGGTGCAGTCACGGCACCCGCGGGCGTCGACGGTTTGTCAAGCGAATCCTCGGTAAAGGAGGTCGTGGTACTATTGTCGTCGAGAGCAGCCGTGGGGGCGGTGGGCGCCTTACCATTGGCGACAGTCTGGGTAATGGCACCGACGGGTGCTGTTGCGTTACCGTTATTGCTTGTTGGGAAGCTCGTAGCCGAGGCAACGGCACCGCTGCTATTGTTACTGACCGCGACGAGGCCTCCCGACAATAGCGGCTCTTGGTTGCTATCGTCAGAGGCCGGCTCCTGGGCAGATTCGCCGTTGCTCGCCGGGTGTGAGTTGCCGTTCTCGGTGGCGACGCCCTCCGGTATGCCGTCCAGCAGCTCGGGCTTCAATTCCGAGGCGACATAGTGGGTCCACAATGCGAGCTCCACGCGATGCGGACTCCAGGAGTTCCCGTTTGTGTCTGCAACAGGGAACGGATAGGGCCAAGCGTGTAAGTCGAATTTATTTTCGATTTTAATATTAATTATCCTCAATTGCTACGTGTTGGACTGCGTCAAAAAGGAGCATTTGCGGTCCGAGCTTTCACCATTTTTAGAAACGAATTAGGGGTAATACGTAGATTGTATTTTGGTAAATTAATTGAAAATAATGAGATGAGAAATTAAATAATGTTCTTATAAAAATTCAATTTTGTTTACAAATATATATATAAACGATTGTCTCTTTCCTTTCGTGTTTCCATTTTTTACGTGACAGATAGTGTAAAAATAATGTAGTATGTATAGGATGAACCCAATTAATATATGACAATAATATATGACAATAATATATGACAATTTTTATTGCATTTTTTTTTATTTTCTATAATAAATTAGATTATGTTATGAAAGTAAGACTGTAACCTTTGATTTATTTACTATATTTATATTGTACAGACGTGGAAATTATTTACAAATAATTATTTTATTAATATTATATTCAATATTGGATTAACGCGTCAGTTGCGGATCATCCAGAAATCTATTAGATAATATAGATATAAACACGCTCTTTTTTGCATGTGTAATGTGTACGTTTCTGAAGATCTCTCGGTATTCAAATGCCCTAAAAAATTACGCTAATTTTATGAAATAAATCTTTGAAAACCTCTCTCATCTCCGATAATTATTGAAATATAATAGTGCGTATTAGCTTCGAAATTACATTTTTATTCTATTGAAAATTATCATTAGCCCGGTTTGAACGTGATTAAATTTGAATATTTGGGCAATCACAAGCACGTAAACCTTACGTGAATCCTTATTAGTTGCGTACAAATATTTTTCCCTGTCCCCAGTTTCTATGAAAATCATTTCAAAGAGCCAACGCATGGGGCTCTGTCAATGTCACACAAGATTTACTTGTTATTTAAAAATCGCCTAAGATTCAATATTCAAACACCGAAGATGTTTAAAGACAGTGCGCGACCGACTACAATAGACCTTCAATCAATCCATATTAATTAACCGAAATTGAATTGGAGAACATTACCCGGACTACTCGTACCTACAGCCCACCCACTCCACTGCTACATCCCTTTCATTTCTAGTACGACCATAGCGGTTAAGCTCTTAAATGCTTATTATCGGGTGAAATGATAAGGAGAGTCTGCTCCTGTCATCAACGCCCATCCACACCAATGAATTTGAACATACAGGAAGCGTTTACTCACTCTGTTTGTTGAGCCTCTCAACGGTGTTTTGAATGTGCTGTACGAAATTGAGATATTCCTTAGTCGTATAATCAATGCCTTCGATCTCGGGTATGGCCATGAGGCACTCGTCGGCCATGAAGGGAGCATTCTCGGGCGAGGCGGCTGCGAGGAGGGCCGAGGCCATCGTCGTGCCGACGCCTTTAAGGTTCGAGAGAGCCGTGATCGCCTGCTCGAGGTTCGGCAGCTTCTTAAACGCCTTCTTCGTCTCGGCCATAACAGCCCGAGGCGTATTCACCTTAACCAGGTACGACAGCTGCGGGTAAAACTTGCCGCGCTGCGGACACACGTGGCAACAAGAGGGCACTTTACTTTCATTCGTACGGCACAGGTTGTGAGAGTTAAAGTTTCCGTGTTGGGATTCACTCGCACACCGCAAACCTTTTACGACTCTTATCACTTTCTAGTTCTACTTCGAACGCGCGCTCCTCGTTATTTATGGGATTGAAAATTTTACCGCGCGCCTTGAGCGATATACCAATCCGGGGTTGGATAATTATTTTTCGACTAATCGTTGGTTTACTCGTAAGCCGAAGATATACAGTAAAATATTACAGTGATACAGACCCAATATCTTATCACTTTAGAAATGAATTCATAAATAATACAGATCTATGTAAGATTTTAATACGTACGTAGGACTTTAATGACAATTTTTTTATAAAATTACTGTTGGGGGAGGGGGGAGGTAGCTTGGATTGGCGCTAATATGAATGTGTCTATTATTAAAGTAAATTTATTCGTTGTAATAATTTATTACATTGATTCAAGTTATATGTACAAATTAGTTGAAAAAAATATATATATATTAACTGACAACTTGTCTTATTCAAGAAAACATAGATGCGTAATTAAAATTTCTCAAAATTTATCCAAGTAAAGATACAAGTATTAGACGTACATTATCTACCGTACTCTATTAAAAATTTAAACAATTATAGCTATTGATGCATTATCAATAATGGATGTATGATGCCTTTTTAATTTTTCTTTGCTACAATTGCCGACTCATTTTTTTATAGTAAAATTTTATCAATGTTATCGCAAATAAATATACGTTAAGCAAACCATTTTTTATTTCAATATTATCAACTGCTATGCATAAAACATTATTTTTGGAAAAGTTATTTTAAAATGTATTAAACTACTAATGGAAGACATTTTTCTCATCTGTGTGATTTTGAATGTGATCGACTTATCACATCAATATATAATAAAAAATAATTTATTATATACGGGAACTTACGATTTGCTTCCATTTCATAGTCTGCACTAGCTCTTCGTGATTCAAATGAGCGTCTTTTCCACGAGATTTGATCTTCTTTGGAAGCTCATTTTGATACCTGAAACAAACAGTTTAATATCAAATTAATATTAACAATAGATACATAAAATTAAATGATTTATAATAATTTAAATATAATTTTATAAGTTTTGGTTCTTTTTTATTAACGCTGTTTATTACTATATATATATTAATTTTCCATTTCTCGTAAGAAATATAAAAAGTACTGTAAATCTTGAAAATCGTTTCAATAAATAGTATCGTTGTTTCGTAAAAAAGTTTAAATTACGTAATGTAAAATATCTATTATTTGTGGTAAATTCATTTTCAATTTTTAATTTCCATAATTATGAATTATTAGTTCTGCCAAAATGTGTATTTAATAATGAATACATCAATATCAATATCATAATTTGTAAAATTTATGTGCTCGTCAATTTCTTGACGTTTTTATGAGGGCGTTGATACTCTAATTCGGCCACTAGGGCCTAACGGAATAATAATTTCAATAATAAAAGACAAAACTCGTCCGGAAATTTCAAAATCCCTTGTAAAAAAAAAAGGATAAAAATCATAATTATATCCGGGAATTCGTCTATTTCGTTATAAATATCGATTTAAGCACTTGAAGAGTTATAAAAAGGCTTGGAATGAAACTTGAATATCGTTTTGCCCTGTTACGCGAATGCAATGTCAATTCTAAGGCTCGTTCCGCAAACAAACAAAAAAAAGCGTTCGCATCGGTACCTCGTAACGTACCCGTAAAAGAAAAACAAATAAACATCGCCGAGAGCCAAGTGACTTTCCTTCCCCGCTAGGAACGCTGAAAATGAAGTAACCACAGCGTCCAGAACGAGAATAATAACTCATTCCGAATGTCATTATCGAAGGAAAAAAAGAAAGAAAAAGCAGCCACCAGGAAGACAGAATAAAAGATAAAAGAAGCGAGAACGTCGCGCACGACACGTAATCGACCTGCAGATGAGAGCGAGCCAGGCTAAGAGGAATAGAGATAGAGATCTCGTAAGTAACCTTGACACACAAGCGCGCTCACCAACACGCAGCCGGCATACATAAGCCACCGGAATAGAGAATGAAAAGAACGGTACAAAGGGAGCATGTACGCAACGAGTTGTACAGTCTGGCGCCAGTGTTGTCGAGATGACAACGCGTGCTCGTCCCGATTATTTTTGCAAGACAGACGTACTCTGTCCATCCTACTCGTGCCCTCTCGTCTCAACCCGTAAACACTTCATCAGCGTTCGATGCTAAAGGCTATGCCTTGCCTCACTCGGGTTTCGCGTTACGAGGGATGAACGACGAATTTTACGCGTAGTTAACCTCACTTCACATCCATTTTAATGATGTTTACTTTTATAATCGTGGCTATTATCGATGATGCAATGGTATTCCTCGGTATGTTTCTAATATGACATTTTCTTGTAATAGTACGGGTTACGAGTTTCGAGGGTTGCGATAAAAAAAACACGTTACTTGACAGGGGACGTAATTTTCGTTACGCTACAATACAAATAAATTTACAGCATTGCAAGGAAAACAAAACCGAAGACAATGAGCAGAAATTTAACACTTGTTAACTTTTCGACTATCCTCTAAATTTCCTTGCAATTCGAAATAAGGTACAAAACATAAGTCAATAGTTGGTATGAAATAACTAACTCATTTCGTTTGCTAGCAATTTAATAGTAAAGACTCACCATAAAACGTAGTATCGTTAGCGTAAAATATATTTACCATAAAGACACTTTGTTTATTACATAAAAATTATTTCGTCATTTATTTATTTATTGATAAGGATATATAGTGACTAAGGCTTACATAAATTTTATTTTTACTGTGTTCTTATACTTTGAATATAAGCTTGATCATTATGCGCATGACAACTCTAATTCAATTTTATTTTCAGTTATTAACTCGAATATTCAAATGGTTTATTGGTTTTTATTTTATATGAATTTTTTAGCTTTCATATGTGTTTACAACATTGTTATTAATATGATACTGTACATCTCTTAATTGCCAATGAGAGTTGTATTTGAATACATTAATGGTAATTGTCGTAAAACTCATGCTAGTCATAAAGAAAAGAATAAGAAAAATTAAAAAAAAGCGACTTGCGAAACCTTAATTCCACCGTGTGAATGAAACAGTGAGACACATGTGCGCCATTCTTATAATTTCTTAGGATTGATAAACATGGTTATCATGGTTAGATTTTTAAAAACAATCTTCTAGTCAATCTACTTTTTATTAGAAGCGTGCCCGATGCCAACAAGGATCACGCTTATTTTAATTATATATGTATTTATATATATGAAGCATCAGTATTGTATACTTTAATAAAAATTCTATTATGTATTTTAACGACTTTCGAAGATGGAAATTAATGAATTTGAGATTTATTATTTTAAATTTGATCATCGAATGGGCACAAGTGTCGCGAACGCGGTTTTCACGCGTTAAACAGAAATTTTAATATCATTATGTAAAAAACTTTTTATTAAGTGAAGAAAGTCATGATTCCATTAGTTTCCAACTCATGTAGCCAACAGCAGGGTATTAACATTTTTTACTAAAAATTGTATCTGTCGTCCAATCCAAAGAGGAAATGAAAAAAGAAAAAATACTCCCTTCACCCCTTTCGCGTTTACTTTGATGCTTGAATTACGAGGTGGTACAACCGGGCCCCTAGAATGATGAGTTTTTCTTTAATGGAAGTACGCACATCCTCCAGCCGTGTCAGCGGTAAAATTACCAAGCGCTATAGGTAGTCATCTTATTTAAAAATACGCGTTATAAAGTCGTCGTTTGTTTGCCATTTTTTTCCTTAAAGTGTACAACCATTAATTAAGCTAAAAAATTAATTTAAAGATAATTCATTAAAAAAATTTATACGTTATTTTAGATTTTTTATTGCATTTTGCATTACGGAAAAAACATCATAAAGGGATATAACCAGTTAGGAGTGTCGCTTCGCACTTCTCAGCATTAACGTGAAACGAATTGAAGAGATCGATCGACGCCTCTTTGAACGCAATTATCCATCTGGACAGTAGGGAGCAATTTTTTAACAAGAAGTTGTACCAATGCCGCTAGATGAAGAAAGCAGTTGGATTAGGCAGGTCAGCGATTACGCATCAACTGCGTAATTAGTCGTAAATTATAGAACGCGGTGTGCTGAGAGAGTACCTTAGGAAGATAAAAGCATCTATAGGCGACGACGGTAGGTCTCGTAACGCCACTCCTACAATGCAGGATCGAACGCTCTCACCTCGTGGTATAGCCAGGCCAGACCAGGTATGGCGAGGTAAGGTGTGGTAATATGAGACGGTCTGGCGAGGTAAAGAGAGGTGAGATGAGATGAGATGAGATGAGATGAGGTGAAGTGAGGTGAGGTGAGGTGAAGTGAGGTGAAGTGAGGTGAGGTGAGGTGAGGTGAGGTGAGGTGAGGTGAAGCGAGACGAAGCGAGAGAGCAAGAAACAAATACAAGGAGGAGGTAACAGATGAGGGAAGTCGTCGCCGTCGTCGTCGCCGTCGTCGTCGCCGTCGTCGTCGAGGTCTACGGTCGAGGCGCACGAACCATTCGCTCATGCATCGGAAAAGGGTTGGGCGAACGACGTGAGCGTCGGCGGCAACATTTACCGACTATCGCTCGACCTGTAAAGTCCTGTCCGGGTTTCGACACACGCATACACACACGCGCGCACGCGCATACATACATACACATATAAAGAAAAAAAGATAGAACAAAACCGAACAAAAAAAGTAGCAAATATGAGAACGATGGAAGGAAGTAAGGGTTGACTGCTGAGTTACGGAGCGAGCGCTAAGGGTCACAAGGTGCTTTGTTTACGTGGCAAGAATTCAAGTTCTGAGCGGCGCTCGTCTAAGTAGCAGATTCATCGAGATGCCGTGCGAACTAATGATGAAGGATAAAAACGGCGGCGCGTAATAATTCACGATCGACATATTGTCTGCCGAACGCTAGTTAAAAATAAGAGGGTGGCTGCGGTGGCGGCTCCGTTTCGGCAAATAACGTACGAATGCCAATACTTCCTTGGTAATGACACAAAGCAAGTGTATTGCTGAGGCAAATAATACGCCCGAGAGTTGGAGGCGACACTTCCCACGTTACCGTTCCGCGCTCCTTGCCGGCCGGCGTCAACCCCTTCCAAGAACGGCCCGCCACCGTCGAGATACAGAACAAGACGACGTATAAGAAGAAAAACAGAGGGAGAGAAACAAAAAAAACGCTCGGTTTTCGTCCGCGAGGAGTGGGCGAGTTCAACGGGTAAAAGTGGGAGATGCGAGGGGGTGGGCTGAGTCGCCACCAACGGTAAGGAAAGAGGGCGGAGGGAGGGAAACAGAGAGACAGAGCGCGAGCGGATCGTGACGCGTCTTGCTCCTTCTCTCTCGCGATCGAAGAGATAGCGGCGGAAGCCCCCACCGCGTTGCTCGCGATCCTCACGGCAGAGAAAAAAGCGTCACAGCCCCCCCTTCTGCCCGTCCAGCAAGTCTTTGGGAGGACGCGCGCGCCCGAAGCCGAGGAAAAGTGGTGGACCTACCTCCCTAAGGAGTTCATTGTCCGCGTGATGATGATGAGGTTCGGCCGAACCGACCGCGTGCGTATGAGAAAAGGGTTTGGGAATGAGTGGGCGCGCGCGCGCCAAAGGCGAATGGACGGAGGGGAACGTCCCGTCCTCCCGCGGCTCCACCTCCTACCGCCGCGCGTTTTATCGTTCCATCGTCCTTCGCTATCCCCTACTGTCCCTACGGCCCTTTAAGTGCGCTTACGTGCATAGGCACTACTCACCAGTTGTCGAGCTTGATGAGCTCCTCGGACTTCTTGGACTTGTGGTTCTCGGCCTTGAGTCGCAGCGCCTGCGGGTAGAGCTTGAGTACGTGCTCAAATTGGCTGGCCGTGCCCTCGGCGAAGAAAGTCGCCGTATCTTTCACGGAAGCCATTGCGCGCGCGTTGCCGTGCTAGGCGACACACACACGCACACGCGCAAACAATCACGATGTAACAACGAAGAAGGCTGCGGCCCCAAAACGCTACTGCCTATCGAACAGCACCGCGAACAGCGCGCGCCTGTTTCTACGTTAAAACGCAAAGCACACGCTGCTGCTATTGCTATTGCTATTCTTTTGCTTTCCCTCTTTCTCTCTCTATTTCTCTTCTTCCTCTCCTCTGCGCTCAACGGCGCGCTCTCGCTCTATCCTCTTCGCCGTGGCTGTGCGCGTGCGGGTTCGCTCTGCGTCGAACGTTGCAGGCGGGCGCCGGAAGGTGGCACACCAGGGCACCTCCTCGTCCGTCCTACCTCTTCCACGGCTGCAGCGGTTGGTTTCCCCCACCAGCTCGGCCTTCTACGGGCTTGTCCCGTCGACGCTTACGTATCCCTTACGCTCTTAGCCTCTTTCTCCACGGCATGCAACGATCCACGCCGCAGTATGTAAGCGCGTGTGCGTAAGAGAGAGAGATGAAGAGAGAGGGAGAGTACGTAAGCACACGTACATACGGACACCAATGCCGTGCGAGAAATTCCTGCTCTCTCGCTCTCCTTCTCGCTCGTTCTTGTTGCTCGTGCCTAGTCAGCAGTGGCGCGTATCTGCCCCTGCACTCTCGCTTCCACCTCCACCACGTCCTCTCTCTCTTTCCTTCAATCTATACACATACACATAAGATTTATTTATACCTCGAGGCACATGTACATATGCAACACCGCCCGCGTATTATCTACGTATATATGCGAATATTTATTTACACATATATACATATATATTTACTTATTTATTTATTTATTCAATTATTTATATATATATATATATATATATATATATATATATATATAACTAGTTATTGAGTAATGTTTTGGCGCGTGTACGCATGCACTTATGCATAGGCATATGTGGATGCCCGATTATATGATTGGGTATGTGTGTAGTAGCTTTCAGTGACACAGGGGCGCGAGCAGAGGCGCGAGCACACAACCCAAGCGCGTTTAAATCCCAGCGGTCGACTCGCGCGACAGCGAGGGCCAGACCAGACGTGGGGGCGAGCGCGCGTTCCAATTGAGGTTAGAAGAGAACGAGAGGGATCCCTCGCTTGCTTCCCCGAGCCTCCAACGTAGTACAGTGCTCGAGCCTCGTCGGTACCGCGAGCGACCTCGCCGAGAGACGGAGAGAGGCGCGCTTGGCAGGCGCGCACCACTCCGTTTCCCAGTGTCAAAGAAAGAATAAGAGACAGAGAGAGAGAGAGGGAGAGAGAGAGAGAGAGAGCAAAAGCAAACGGGAGAACGTGCGTGTGCGTTGGGTGCTAGCGCGATTGCGGCGACGGCAGCCGAGGTGCTGATGACGACGAGGATGCGACGATAACGATTACGTTTTTGCTAGCTTGCTTGCTTACTTGCTTGCTCGCTGGCTCAGCTCGCATCCAATGCTGACGAAGAAACAAGCAAGGATGAAATAAACGCGAAAAGGATCACCGAGTCTCAAGGAACCTAGTGCTCTTATCTATCAATCAACCTATCTACCTCTATCTACCTATCGGTCTCTCTATCTACCCGTCTCCTTACTTCACTCTCTCTCTCTCTCTCTCTCCCTGTCACACGCACGCACGCACGCACACCCACGTAGTGCTGTTGCTCGTGTTGTCGGTCGCAGGAGCGGACGGGCCACGCACCACTTCTCTATATCGTATAATCCCGAGAGCGCCTTCCGTTCCTCTCTCGCTGGACTGACTCGTTCTCTCGCACGCATACGACTCCGCTCCACCGCACGGACGGATCTCGTCGGACTGCTGCTGCTTACGAGCTAAGCGGGTGAGTGTGGCCGTCCCGCCAGATGGCGCCACGCGCACCCGACTAAGCTCTGCCCCTCTCGCTCGCACCCGCTATTCACGAGCGGCTGCCCCCACCGTGCCAGTCCTTACCCACCAACCAGTCCGTTGACGTCCCACCCATCGTCCCATCTCGGCCCCTGCCGCCACCGCATCCGCCACAACCCCTACCACCACCACCACCACCACCACCTCCACCACCTTCACCACCACTACTACCAAACCACGCCACTATCGCCGCTACCAGTGTACGTGTGCACGGAGCCGATTAAGGCGCGCATCCACCGAGTCAGAGAAGAGCGAGCGAACGCTCAACGGCTGGCAATGGCTAGTGGCGGGCGGTTTCCTCGCAACGAAGGAATGGAATATGACGATGTTCCGCCGAGCCCTGGCCCCAATGCCAAGTTAAGAGTGCTCACCTCGCTACTCGTAGTAAGCATTAAGCGCACTAATAGAGGCCCGACGAAACGAAAGGCCCAGTACACTAGACTCTTGTTATTCCAACGCTCGGCCAATTGCGCAGTCGATGGGAGCTCAACGTTCGTAAGACTTGTAGCCGAGAAGTGGAGAGCGATCGCACGGTGCAAGAGCCTCTTCTCGCTATAAAGTACAAGCCGTACTTTTTAGCCGTTCGCGGGCTCATTGCATTTTCCGGTGAGCCGGTATTGCAATGTAATATTACGTACCTATTCACCCACGACTGCTAAGCTGAATAATATTATAATGGGCCGAATTTTGATGCGCAAAAATTGCGGCTTATTGAGCCGTGATTCGCTAAAATAATATGCAGCACGTATACGTGTACGTCTCGGGTTATACACATTTTTGTACATATATATGCGCACAAACGTATATTAATTTTTTTTTGCGTGTACATACGTAAGCGCGCGAGTGCGGAAACACTGTGTACAGCAGTCGTAGCCATCTAAAAACATCTGCATTTAGGGTTATATTTGAAATTCTAAATATACGGCAGCCGTCATTGTCCGGTGTAAGCGAGTGATCGGATCGGTTAATTACATCACGCCTGGCCAATTGCAGCGTCCGATATAGCGGACGCCGGTCCGCGCACCTTCATCTCCAGCGCATCTATAGTTATGAAAAGCGCAGCCGTGATCATCAGGCGCGTGTAAGCGATAAAAAGGTAGGCGAATTGCTCGGTGTGTCCCGATGCGAACATAGACGCGGTTCGACATCATCTCTCTCTCTTTTCCCCTCGCTCACGTTGCGCGTCCGACAGCACACGTGCGGCCGCCCCTGAAAGATCTTGTTTACATTTACAAAGGCCCATAGAAGCGTAGCCGTGAGCGATCGTAAATGAAGAGGAAAAACACAAGGGAAATAAAATGCAATAGTAGTGGAGCGCCAGCTTAAGGCGGGTATACCGTCGATTTACCACCACCGTCGGAGCACCTACTCCCCGCTTCGCGTCCTTGTTCGTCTCTTTATCTCTCTCACTCTCTTTCTCTTTCTCGTACGTGCGCGCGCTCTCTAGCTGCCGTCTGACGCGGCCGCTTTGCATTATATACGTACGAAAATTTCGACCGTTGAGCTGTCAGTTGGCGGAGCTGTTCCCCGCACAAGAGCGAGCGAGAGGTTCGAGATCGCATAAAGCTCGTTCTTTGCCGACTCCTCGTGATGTCGTCGCGCGCTTTTAGGTTATGAGCGTTCGAGCGAGTCTCTCTGTCTTTCCCTCTCGCACTACGCTCGGCTCTTCGCTGAATTGGAATTTTTGCTCGCTTCAGCGGAATTTCTGTACTCCGTCCTTGTTCATTCAGTGTTTGTACGTTCTCCAAGTGGAGCGAACGATCAAACGATCGTGTGAGAGAGTTATAGAGAGAGTAAAAGAGAGGGACAAAGACAGAGAGAACGAACGAGCAAATGAGCCGACGGTCAAAGTTGGGAACGGAAGGACGTGGGGCACTTAGATTTTTTAAATATAATTTTGAAATAAAGTTGGAATAGAAAAAAAAGGGAAAATTATAGACTGCCCCACGGTGTTTCGAATACCCAATAAAAAAAAGTTGGGAGACTTTTTCTAAATTTATCCGCGCGCCTATATCTCGCTCTCTCACGGGCCGCGCTCGCTCGTCGAGGATGACGAGGCTGAAAGCAGTGAGGCCGTAGTGGGAGGCGGACAAGAGGCGGGTACGAGTGAGATGGAGAGTTGCCGAGCGAAAACGGGAACGCCGAGCTCCGAGGTCTGCGCGTTGCGTGCCGTGTTCTGTGCCAGCAACGGAAAGTCGATTTTCCCGGCTGGCCGTTGCGTACGTGTGAGAGTACTGATGCCCGTGTGCGTTACGTACGGTCAAACTACCGCGCTATTTGGGTCTCGTGACGGTAAGGCGACCTATCAAGATTTTCCGATCGACTTTGATTCGCCCGACAGGGGCGCGTCTTTGCTCGTATCAAATTATGAATATTTTACCGCGATGTAAATCAGCACTTCTCCGAACTTTTATATTGGATTATCGCATGACGTCGTTGGCTACCATTGGTTACCTCTCTCATTCGTATTTTTAGTATTTCTAGAGCAACAATAATATTTTCGATTTTGGAGCGCAGTTCGTTCGTAATGACAAAGTTGCTTCGCGTCGCCACAGCAATTATAGCTCGGCACTTTCATAAAAACATGTTCTATATTCCCAAGATAAGAGGGAACATTTTTGACGGTAATACCTCGGCAACTGAAAATTCGTATTTCTCTCTCTGGTTCTCTCACTCGTTAGTCGCTCACTCAGTCATTCAAGAGTGCATACACACACAACACACGGTTGCGCGCGCGCTAACGCGACGCACACAAAGAGATAGCCTAGCTTGCGTTTGCTCGGCTCCTCCGCTGACGTCCCCTGGTATTTCCCCCACTGTGCGCTTATAGGTTATGGCAACGCGGCGTGATGCGAAGGGGAGCCACGGCCATGACGCGGTGGGGATAAAGTGAGATGAAGCGAGGTTTTGAGGTTAGGGCCCCCCTCTGTGCATCCTCGAGAGCAGCCGTTCCGACTTCCCCGCCTTGGCAGGAGCCGACGGCGACGGCGCCGATGAACGATTGCATGGAGGGCCCTTATAACCTCGGCTCTCGCTTCTCATACAGCTGGTTCCTATGAGCGAACACCGACTGAAAATAAAAAGGAGAGGGGATATATGCTGAGATGCGCGGGTAGCGGGACGAGGGAGGTAGGCAGGCAGCGATCGTGGTTACTATCTGGAATTTCGCGCGCCGGGGCCGCCGCCTCGCTTTTTCTCCGCAAATGCGGACTCCCCTTCTTTTTTAACTCTCTGGAGGCTGTGTGTATTGAAAGTCGAGCCTGACCGCGCGTTCCTCGTTCTGGCCGAGGGAGTCAGGCCTTGAGAGTGAGTGAGCGAGCGAGTGTGAGAGAGAGAGAGAGAGGGAGAGAGTGTTCTTCGTGCACGGTTCTCCGCGCGCTCTCTTTTGCCGTCTCTCTCGCGCAGTCGCTTTCCCTCTCTCCTTAGCGTTCGCGCT